ATACCTGTACAGGATATTTCTTGCTTCTTTTTTCCCATTTCCTTTTCCTCCCTTTAACCCCTCTTCCCCTCCTTATTTACAAATAGCTTTAGGGGCGTGGTGGCACACTCCTGTAATCCAAGTACTTGGGAGGCTGAGGCTGGAGGATCGCTGTGAGTTTGAGACTGGCCTGGGCTGCATAGTGAGTTCCAGGTCAGTCTCAACTACATAGTGAGACCCTATCTCAAAAAACCAACAACAACAAAAAACAAAAACCACAAACAAACAAAAACCCCAAATAGCTTTGGTTCCATTTTTTCCTTACATTCTTTTTTTTTCTCATCCCTTTTCCTCTCCCCCCTTCCTTTGTTCCTTTTCTCATTTGAACACTTTCTTTCCATTTCCCAATATCTGTTATGCATTTTGGTCCTTATTTCCACTTTCAGTTCTCATGTCAGAGAACCAGTGCTGTGTTTAAACATGTGTGCCTGATTTCTTTCACTTAAGAGTGTGGTCTTGAGGTGCATACACTTACCTAGAACTGTCTCAAGTTTATACTTTATGGCAGAGTAGTAAGTACTTCTATATAGAAAAAGCACATCTTTATCCATTCATCAGTTGATTTGGGCTGATTGATTGGGTTGATTTGGGCTGTTTCTAAGATTTAGCTATTACAAACTGTGCCACTATCAACATAGGTATGCATATTTCACTGTGGTATGATGCTTTTAGTTTTGGGGGGAGGTTACCAAGAAGGGGAATAGCTAGGTTGGATGGAACCTCTAGTTAGTTGTTTTTTTTTCTTTTTTTAAACAGGGTTCTATGTAGTTCAGGCTGACCTTGAACTCATGGTAATCCTCCTGCCTCAGCCTTCTGAGTGCTGGGATTATCAGTTTGCACTGCCATGCCTGGCTCTAGTTTTAGTTTTGTGAGGACTCTCCACCCTGATTTCCACCATGATTGCACCAATGTGCATTCTCACGAACAGAGGAGAAGGTTTCCTTTATCTTCACAGTCTGCCAACATTTATTTGTCTTGGTTGATTTTTCTTGATAACAGCCATTCTTTCTGGGGTGAGATGGAATCTCAGCATTGTTTTCATTTGCATCTCTTGAATGACCCATTATACTGAACATGTTTTCATATATTTATCTGCTGTTTCTACTTTATCTGAGAAGTATCTCTTGATTTCAGGTGTCATTTTTGAATTGGGTCATAAAATTTGAGGGGGGTTCTGATTTTTTGAATTTTTAATATATTCTCTCTAGTAGTACTTTGTCTGAGGAATACCTGATAAAATTGTCTTCACTTTGTTTATGGTTCTTTTATTTTTATTTTTTTGCTGTGTAAAAGCTAAGTCGAGATCCCAGTTGTTGATTCTTTGTGATAGTTCCTGTGTGACTGGGATTTTGTTCATAAAGTCTTTGCCTATAACCAATGTCTTCAAGAGTTCTACCTATTTTATCATCCAGAAGATTTAGTGTTTTTGTTTAATATTTAGATCTTTGATCCATTTTGCTTTTTAGCTTAGTGCATGGAGAAATATATGGGTCTAGTTTTCATCTTTGGCATGTGGAAAGCCAGTTTTCTCAGCACCATTTGAGGTGGTTTTTCTTCCAGTAAAGGTTTTTGTTTGGCTCCTTTGTCAAAGATAAGGTGGCTGAGTGTGTCTGGAGTTGTTTCTCCATCTTCTAATCTGTTCCATTCATCCTCAGGTCTTTTTTTTTTTTTTTTTTTTTTTTTTCAGTATCATGCTGTTTTTATCACAGAAACTTTGTAGTATAATTTCACATCAGGGATTATGATGCTCCCTGCCTTGCCTTTGTTGCCCAGCATGCTTTTGCTATTCTATATCTCTTTTGGTTCCAAATGAATTTTAGGATTGTTTTCTCTAATTTTGTGATGTATGCTCTTGATAGTTTGATTGGTATTGCATTAATTCTGTATAATAATTTTGGAAGTAAGACCATTTTCACTATATTGTTTCTTCCTACCCAAGAACAAAGAATATCTTTACATTTTCTGATATCCTCTTCAATCTTCTTTTTCACACTACTGTGATTTTTCAATGTAGAGATCTTTTACTACCCTGTGAGATCAATTCTTAGGCATTTGTTTTTGGGGAGCTATTATGAAAAATGTGCTTTCCCTAATTTCTCTCTCAGTGAGTTTATTATTTGTGTAAAGGAATGCTATTGATGTTTGTTTGTTTTGTGTTTGTTTGCTATTAGTTTAAGCTGGCCTTGATTTCTCTAGGTAGTGCTGGCTGGCCTTAAAACTCATAGCAATCCTTCCACCTCAGCGTCCCAAGTGCTGGGACTATAGGCATGTACCACTATGAATTTTCTGTGTTGGCTTTGTATCCAGTTGTGCTACTGAATTTGGTTATTAAATTTAGAAGTCTTTTGGTGGAGTTTTCGAGGTCTTCTAAGTAGAGTATCATGCCAATTGCAAATAGTGATAATTCAACTTGTTCCTTTCTATCTTTATTCCTTTTATTTTTTCTCTTGTCTAAGTGCTCTGGCTAACGTTTCCAGAACTACATTGAATAAGAGTGGTGATGGTGGACATCTTTGTCTAGGTCCTGATTTTAGAGTGGAAGCTTAGTTCTTTTGGAGACGGTCTCACTATGGAGTTCAGGCTGGCCTTAAATTCATGGCAGTGCTCTTGCCTTGGCCTTGTAAATGCTGGGATTGTAGGTGTGCACCACCACACCTGGCAAGCTTTCAGTTTTTGTCCATTTAGTGTGATGTTGGCTGATGGTTTATCATAGATGGCTTTTATCAGATTGAGGTAAAGACTATTCCAATTTTTTGCGGGGTTTTTATCATGAATGTGTGTTGTACTTGGTCAAATGCTTTTTCTTTGTCTACTGAGATGATCATGTGATTTTCGTCTTTGGCTCTGTTGATATGGTGTATTCCATTTATTGATTTGCACATGTTGTACCATTCTTGTATCCCTGGGATGAATCCTACTTGGTCATGTTGTATAATTGTCTTGTTTTTTTGGTGGGGGGTACTTGTTAATTTGCGGCATTCTGTTTGCCAGTATTGTGAGGATTTTTGCATTTATATTCATTAGGAACATTGGCCTGTAATTTTCTTTTTCGGTTGGATCCTTCTCTGATTTTGGTATCAGCATAATACTTGCTTCTAGGAATAAATTTTGGGGTATTCCTTTTAATTTCATTAAAGAATTTGAGGAGTAGTGGCATTAGTCCTTCTGTAAATTTCTTCTGGAATTCAGCAGTGAAAGTACCAGGACCCAAGCTTTCTTTGTTGGTAGGTTATTAATTGCATCTTCAGTTTCATTGACTGGTATTGAGTTATCTAGAATTTTTATATCTTGGTTCAGCTTTTGTAGTACATATATATTCAGGACTCTGTCCATTTCTTCTGTGTTTTCCATCTGATTAGAATATAGGTTCTTGAATTCTGTAATTCAAGATGATGATTTTCTGGAGTGATCTTCTGGAATTCTGCAAGATCTGTTGTGATTTCACCCTTTTCATTCCTAATTGCATGGATTTGAGTCTTTCCTTTAAAAAAAGTAAGGTTAACTAAGGGTTTTTCAATTTTATTTAATGCTTCAAAGAACCAATTCTTTAATTCATTGATTCTTTGTATTGTTTTCTTAGTCTCCACTGCATTAATTTCTGTTTTGATCTTTATCATTTCCTCCCTCATACAAGCTTTGGGCTTGGCTTGTTCTTTTTTTTCTAGAAATTTGTGGTTCAACTTTACGTTGTTTATTTTAGCTCACTGTTTCCTGATGTCAGAATTCACTGCTGTAAGTTTTCTTGTCAGACTGCTTTCATTGCATCCCATAAGTTCTGATATGTTGTATTGACATTATCATTTAATTATAGAAACTGTCTAATTTTTTCTCTAATTTCATCTGTGACCCTTTGGTTGTTCATGATGGTGTTATTTAATTTCCATGAGTGTATGAAGTTCTTGTGGTTTATTTTGCCATTGATTTCCAATTTCATTGCACTATGGAATAATTTCAGTTCCTTTGCATTTGCTTAAGCATGTTCTATGAACTAGTATA